AAAAAAAAAAAAAAGAATGTTAATGACCAGCCTGTCAGGGTGGCTCACACCTGTAATCCTAATACTCTGGAAGGCTGAGGAGGGAGGATCCCTTGAGTTTGAGACCAGCCTGAGTAAGAGTGAGACCCTATCTCTCCTAAAAATACAAAAATTAGCCAGAGGTTGTGGTGGGCACCTGGAGGAAGTTTGCTTCAACCCAGGATTTTGCTGTTGCTGTGAGCTAAGCTGATGCCATGGCATTCTAACCTGGGCAATCTGGGCAACAGAGTGAGACTGTCTCCAAAAACAAACAAACAAAAAACCCCAGAATATTACTGAATCACTGTCTGCTGGTTAAAAGATTAGCCACGTTTTTCCTCTTTAAACAAATAGAATTCATGTATCAGCTCATTCATGGTTTTATTAGGGAGAATAAAGACAAATTAAGATCTAGCTTCCTTTTAAACATTGCACTGTTCATAAGTTGTTTTGAGTAGAGGAGGTAAATAAAAGGAGAAGAAATCAAATCATTTAAATATTCTGATGTCTTTAATTTTCAGAAAAGTGGTCAAAGCTGTTGCCTGAAATGTTTAACATATTCTGTTTCCTTGTTTCTTTCTTGTTCATGATTATTTCAAGCATGAGTTTTGTAAGACTAAACATTCTCTCTGTGCTTTCTCCCATTTTCAGGTGTTAAAAAGAACTGAAGTATGAAGAGGACATGGTATCAAACAGTCATTCAATGACTATAACCTCTACCCCCTTGGGATTGTAGAATTATAATTTTTTATGTATAAATTATACCTGGCCTGTACAGCTGTTTCCCACTCACTGTTCTTGTAAACTCTGCTGCTTCCCCGCACTCTAGTTGAGTGCAAATTTTGGCATCTTAGGAGGGAAAAATGACAGTTTACAACTGTGGCCCTATTTATTACACAGTTTGTCTTTCTTGTCTTAAATTTAGTCTTTACTGTGCCAAGCTAACTGTACCTTTTAGGACTATGCTTTTTGTTTTTTGTGTGTGTGTTTATTTTTTAATCTCAGTTTAAATTACCTTGCTATTGCTTCTTTCTTTTCCTATTAAAATGTCTTCCTTTTTTTAAGGGAAAATGGAACATTTAGGTTAAATGTCTTAAATTTTACCACTTAGAACACTACATGCCCACAAAATCTATCAGGTCAGTACTGTATTTTAAAATCCCTTGAAATGATATCAGGGTTAAAATTATTTATATCATTTCTGAAGTTTGCTTCTGAAAACTGTTGTTTGAGCACTGAAATCTTACAACTAATTAGGCCTTTGAGACTGAGCAGGGCTATTTAATTGTAATCTCATGCCTATCACTGAGTTATTTAAATAGAAATACCTGTATTTTTACAATATCAAAAGCAGATCTCAGTTTAAGAGAGAGTTTGGAAAAGGAATTGTATTTCTCTTCCTGATTCTATATTCACCATAGCCTGATGGAATGGAAATGCGTATGCTTCATTCTGGCAAGCCTGCTAACTGATAGAAGAATTGGACAGATGTTAATTTGTCATCTTTAGTGTCGTGAAATGAATTAAGATACTATAGGAGTAAACATAATTTTATCTTATTAATACTTAATTGGCTGATCTAAACTTACAGCCTACAGAAATTGAGAAAAATGTGAAGAAACAGGACTGGTACATGGTAAATCTTAAAAAATACTTGTAGATAAATTGTGGTCTGAAATCCCTAAGGTGTTTTTTACCTGCTATACTAAATCATACACTATAATTTATTTCTTTAGTGTAGAATAGTAAATTGTTTGCAAGTCACTAATCCTCAAAAATTATTTTGTTGGTGATAGCCCATAATTTTGTAATTAGTACTAAATGTGTACCTATTTTTGCCACTTCTCCCTCAGATGATTAAACTAAGTCAATAGTTTATTTTACGAAAGTATAAAAGTAATAGGGAAAGAGATTTCAATATTTGCTTTATCAGTGGTGGGTAGGGTGTGACTGCAACTGTATTAGCAGAAATTCACAGAGAATGGGGATTTAAGATATTCAGTCAGTAGAGAAAATTGGAAAGTTCTGTGTTAGGATCTGGCTGGCAGAATTAACTTTTTGAAAAAGTTTTATACACAGATATTTGTATTATTAAATTTGGAGTCAAAGTCAGAAGACTCAGATCATGATTGGCTTATTTTTCTAGTTCCTTAACGATTGTAATTTCCACTTTTATAATTTTGACTTTAAAAGATAAATTTATTTATTTATTTTTTTAACAGTCAGTCTTTGCTGTTAGAGTCTGCAACCTCGAAAATGATTGTGTTGCTTTTAGGATTGATCATAAGAAACACTCCAAAACTTGAGATGGAATCTTGGTGCAGCAAGAGATAAGTAATACACTAAACAGAAAGTAAGTGTACAGCCTCCTTAGGATGATAGTTTCCTGAATGGAGAAACATTTGGCTGCATTCACGCTTCTTTGGCAATATTCATAAATGAAGCAGAATTTTTTTCTCTTTTGTCTGAATGTTACTTTCATTTTTGTAAGATGTGTCGTGGGTATTGGTGCTGTGTAACAATGAATTGTAACTAGCATGTGGTTCTGAATATACAATGTTAGGCTTTTTAATATCTAAATAGTTCTTTTCTATTTATAATCTCAAACTTTCGTAAAGTACACCAAGAATTTCATAAATTTGTTTTCAGTAAATTGCTCTTTTTTGCTATGGCAGGTCATTAAACACAGCACTTACTCTTACAAATGAAAACTTCTGATCATCTAGAATATTCACCTTCAACTTGCAGTGTCTTTTTGACTGGATATATTAATGTTCCTCTGAATGGTATTGATAAAGAAGAGAAACCCAGTGAAATAAGAAAATAGTATTTATTCATGGTGATCAATTAAATTATTTGCCTAACTTAAGAAAACTAACTACTGTGCATAACTCTCAATTTGTGCTTAACTCAATTGACATGAGATGACAGCAGAGAGTATGAGTCTACCTGTGGAATATGTTGGTTTATTTTCAGTGCTTGAAGACACATTCAAAGATACTTGGTTTGGGAAGACACCGTATAATTTTTAAGTTAACCTGCATGCTGTAAATGTGTTTTATGTTTAAATAAAAGAGGAAAAAGTTTTTGAAATGTAGTGACTTTCTTAAACTTCATTGATGAAGTATTAGGTTGATTTTATATGACTGAGTGGCCTTCTGTCTCGATAGAAGAGTGACTGATAGGTCATTATATTCATGGATATTGTGTTTCCTAATGTGTTGCAGGCTTTTGGACAGCAGGTATTATACATAGGCTGAAGAGCTAGAAATGAATCCCCAGTGTCGCTTGTTTTTTTAAATTTTGGGTTACATGGATATACCTTACAGTATAACCCTTAAGCCAGGCTTTTTGGTATGCTCATCACCAGAATAGTGTTCACTGTATCCAATAGGCAAGTTTTTATCCCACACACCTCCTCCTATATTCCCCCACTCCCACCTCTTGTTATACTTCCGTGTACTATTCTACATTACCTGAGTCTCGTTGTTACAGTAACCAATGTAAGAATACTGGTAAAGTTTGTTTTTCAGATACTAAAAGAAGATTTTCTAAATCCAAGTGGTGATTCATTTCTTTTTTGGTTGGGGGTGTTGATTTATGTCTTAAATTATCATGGAAATATTTAATCACATAAAATCAGACAATGTAATAAAACCCCAAGAACCAATAAAAGGGTTTTTTGTTTGTTTGTTTGTTTTACAATAAAGGGTTTTTCCCTTCTGGATAGATGCCCATTAATAGGATTACAGGATCAAACGGGAGGTCTAGGTTGAGTTCTTTGAGGTTTCTCCATATTTCCTTCCAAAAAGGTTGTATTAGTTTGCAGTCCCACCAGCAATGTAAAAGCGTTCGTTTTGCCTAAATGCCCCTCAAACCAGGAATGGATTGGCAAGCTGTGGTATATGTATACCAGGGAATACTGTTTAGCCATTTAAAAATGGAGATTTTGCACCATTTGTATTAACCTGGATGGAGGTGGAACACATTATTCTTAGTGAAGCATCACAGGAATGGAGAAGCATGAATACTATGTATTCAGCTTTGATATGAGGACAGTTAATGACATGGTGGGGTATAGGGGGAGTGGGGAGCAGACAGAGGAGGAGGGAGGGGGTGAGGGAAAGGAAAAGAAAAAAAAACCTGAAGTACTAGTCACTCGTCTCAACAAATATCAATTTGCTGCTAATCTGGTTTATCCATAGTCGCTCATGCCCTCACCATTATTATTTTGAAGCAATCCCTGACAACATATGCTTCTTTCATAAATATTAAAACAAAAATGCCATTATCAAAAAGTTAATAAGTTACTAATAAGTTCAAATTTTATCTCTTGTAACTATTTCAACCCCAATAAAATCCATATATTGCTAAGAGGCCCACTCAGTGTTGTCTCTCTTTCTTTGCAATTAATTTATGAAGAAAACAGTATTTGCCCTGTAGAGTTTCCTAGATTTTGCTGATTGCATCCCTTTGGTGGCATTAACGTATTCCTCTGGCTTTTGTCTCCTGTTAATTTGTTTTGGATCCACAGACTAACCAGATTCAGACATTTAGTTTGTTGGAAGGGGACAGTGGTACTTTATGGGTGGTGGTATTTCATCAGGGGGCACATGAAGTCTGTTTGTTTCATTGATTATCAGTCTGCATTAATGGTCAATGCCTAGATCCATCAGGTTAATAGGGGTCGCACAATGGCAGTATTCTAATTATGCCAGGTATCATTACTTTGTTAGCTGCACTAGAGAAACTTGCCCTCTACTACTATTTGGTTATCCAGCGATGTCGTTTGTATAGAAGAGACAGGATAAATGTTTGATTCTTTCCCTTTATTTGTAAGTTTGATGATAATGAGTTGCCTGAATACCATCCTTCAGTGATGACCTAGTATATTTCCCCCCTTTTATATTATTTGATTATGATCTTTCAAGTGTGCTTCATGAGCCTTCAAATAACTTTCTTTTCCTGGAGAAATATGAATGGAAACCGTTTTTCACAAAGTATATAGGTAAAAAAATCACAGTAGGAATGGGATGCAAAAGGAAATAAAGTTTATCAAATAAACTAGTGAAGATTTAGGCACAGGCAGGCAATGTAAGACAGATGAAGGACATGAATGTGTGTGTATCACAGCTGACATAGCCAGACTACCATTTCTCCTTATCGTGTGTTTATGCACTAGAGAACTCAGGGGTTCTACCACTCTTGAGGCAATGGTCATTAGTAATGAAACCTCCAAATAATTTCTTCAGAGTCCATGTTTTGTCTTACTGTAGAATTCTGCAACCACAGTCAAGAGAATTTTTACATTGCTCTTTCGGGCAAAAACCATGCAGTTAGTTTCTTTACTTTGGTTAAAGAAATAATTATTTTTCATTTTCAAATACATTTGGCTAGTAAGAAAAAGTTCACACAAGAAATAGGCCAGGTGCAGTGGTTCACTCCTGTAAGCTTAGCACTCTGGGAAGCTGAGGCAGGTGGATCACTTGAGCTCAGGAGTTCAAGACCAGCCTGAGCAGGAGTGAGACTCTCATCTCTAAAAATAGAAAAACTAGATGGGCATTGTGGTGGATGCATGTAGTCCCAGATACTGGGGAAGCTGAGGCAAGAGGATGAATTGAGTCCAAGAGTTTGAGGTTGTTTTAAGCTGTGACAATATAGCACTTGATCCAGGGCAACAGAGTAAGACCAAAAAAAAAAAAAAGCTCTGCACCTGTAGTTCAGTGGTTTGGGCGCCAACCACATACACTGGGGCTTGTGGGTTCAAACCTGGCCTGGGTCTGCTAAACAACAATGACAACTACAGCATTATGGTGGGCACCTGGAGTCCCAGCTACTTGGGAGACTGAGGTAAGAGAATTGCTTAAGCCCAAGAGTTAGAGGCTGCTGTGAGCTGTGACACTACAGCACTCTACCGAGGGCAACATAGACTCCAAAAAAAAAAAAAAAAAAAGTGGTCCTGCTGGTACCAGTCATACTGAAACTGTTCAAAGAAATGGAGGACAGAAACCTCCTAACTCATCCTACAAAGCCAGTATCACCCAAGGACACAACAAAAACCTAACAGCCAGGCATGGTGGCTCAAACTAGAAACCCAGGACTTTGTGAGGCTGAGGCAGGAGGATTGCTTTAAGGGCAGCTTTGGCAGCTTAGCGAAACGCTGTCTCTACAAAAAGAAATACAGACCAATTCGTGATGGATATAGATGCAAAAATCCTCAACAGAAATACTAGCAAACTGAATCCAACAGCACATAGAAAAGATAATACCGAAGCTGGGAGCAGTGGCTCATGCCTGTAATCCTAGCACTCTGGGAGGCCGAGGCAGGTAGATTGCTTGAACTCAGGAGTTCAAGACCAGCCTAAGCAAGAGTGAGACCCCACTGCCCCTCTGAAAAATAGCCAAGCATTGTGGCAGGTTCCTGTAGTCCTAACTACTCAGGAGGCTGAGGCAAGAGGATCTCTTGAGCTCAAGAGTTTTGAGATTGCTGTAAGCTATGACACTACTGCCACGGTACTCTACAGAGGGCAACAAAGTAAGACTGTCTCAAAAATGAATAATACTCAATGAGTTAGTGGGTTTTATCCCAGGAGCACAAGGTTAAGATGGTTCAACACATCTGATTAACCACATAAACAATTTAAAACAAAAACTATGGGTTGGTGCCTATAGTTCAGTGGTTAGGGCGCCAGCCACATACACCAAGGCTGGTGGTTCAAAACCAGCCTGGGCCTGCTAATAACAACAATAATAACTACAAAAAAAAAAAAAATAGCCAGGGGTTGTGGCGGGTGCCTGTAGTCCCAGCTACTGGAAGGCTGAGGCAAGAGAATCGCTTAAGCCCAAGAGTTAGAGGTTGCTGTGAGCTGTGACGCCACAGCACTCTACCCAGGGTGACATAGTACGACTATGTCTCAAAAAAAAAAAACCAAAAAACAAACAAAAACAACCGTGATCATTTTAATAGCTGCAGTAAAAAAAAAAAAAAAAATAGCTGCAGTAAAAATATTTGTTAAATCCACCATCCTGGGTGGTGCCTGTGGCTCAAAAGGGTAGGGCACCGGCCCCATATGCTAGAGAGCCCCAGCCAAAAACAAAAACAAAAAAAAACCCCATCTAAATCCAACATCCCTTTATGATTTAAAAAACCCTCAACAAAGTAGGCATAAAAGGAACCTTTTCTGCAATTTTCTCTAATTTTCTGCAGTTTGAATATGATAATAATGCCTCGGTATAGATTTTTTTCCCTGCATTTATCCGGCTTAGTGTTCTCTGGGCTTTCTTTCTTTATCATTATTATTATTATTTGCAGTTTTTGGCCAGGGCCTGGTTTGAACCCACCACTTCTGGTATATGGGGCTAGCCCCCTACTCCTTTGAGCCACAGGCACCCCCTGTGCTCTCTGGGCTTTCTGGATCTATGATTTGGTGTATAGGTGTCTGTCCATTTGGGGAAATTCTCAGTTACTGCTTCAAATTTTTTTCTCTTTCTTTCTCCAGTTCTTCGATGTTCTATCCCATCGTTTTCCTTCTTTCTCTTTGTATTTCAGTTGTGGAAGTTTCTCTCAACGTCCCTTCAAGCTCACTGGTTGTTTTCCTCAGCCTTGTTCATTCTTCCATTCTATCAATGAGCCCATCCAAGGCATTCGTAAGTGTCTTGACTTCTAGCATTTCCTTTTGATTCTTAGATTTTCCATTTCTCTGTTTCTTGAATGCTGTTCACATTAGAACTCTTAGCATAGCACTCAGAGGTATTTTAAATGTCTGTTCTGGTGATGATTCAGAAATCTCTGCAAGTGTCTGAATGTTGTTCTGATGGCTGCTCTAGCTCTTCAATTGCTTATTCTTTTCTTTTCTTTTTGAAAGCTGGGTGAAAGGAACTCAGTCCTAGCTCCACCAGGGGGCCTGTGTGCTCTTGAAATCATCCATGCTTCTGTTCCAGTAAAGCTTTGATTCCTTATATTCACTTGCCTCCACTTCAGGGAGTAGCAGCCTGCCTTGTGATCTCAATTCTGTAGTAAGATTGGCTTTTTTTTTTAAAGACAGAATCTCAGTCTGTCACCCTGGATAGAGTGCTATCATCATAACTCTCTGCAAC